GGCGGCCGTACCCCACGGGAGCAGGTCTCAAAGGCTGGCTGCTCAGGCTCCTCGGGTCTCTCTGCACTTCGCTTTGCTCCTCTGCTGCCTTGGGCTGTGTCTTGCCCTCTCAGGTCTCTCAAGCGTCCTTCCCCGGCTTCCTGGTCTGAGACACCACCCCCCGCCCCCGCCCCCACGCCCCTTCCTGCAGGTTACTGCAGATGGAGAAACCGCCATCTTGATTCTCCTAGATCTTGGAGTTTTGTGTTTGTTTTGTACGGTTTCTCCTATTATACTGGCGTCTGTGTGTGACCATCTCAGCAAAAAGCAATTATGTTTCCTAACGACCAGCTTGATCTGGTACTGCGAACATGGAGAGGAAGCATTTCTTGCAGTCCCAGTTTGCAAATTTACTCGAGCTGTGGATCAGCCATGAAGCTGAAGAGAGACCACGGAGCTCAGCCTGTCTAGAAAGGCCTGGGCTTGAAAGCGCTGCTGCTCCAGCAGACTCCGGGGCTGCCCGGGCCGGAGGAGGGCGTCGCCCCTCTGAAAGCAACACCGACACCGTTCCGCCTGCTTCGTGCTACCTGCTTCCTCCTTCTTCCCTCAGGTCTGAGCCAAATCTTCATCTCTTGTTCAGCCAACATTTCCTGAGTGATCTTTTTATCATTTTCGAGACTGTCACACGTTGGACTCACCCACTCGGTCGCCCTGAGATTGATGTGTTCACTTAGCTATACCATGCAAGCCCCCTCCGTGTCTTCCCACGACTTGGTGATTCATTCATTGTTTCCTTTCCCTCCGAATAAGCATACACTTTGCGCCGGCTTTGCTGACGGTAAGGTTCTGGAGTGTTTTTAATCAATAACTTTCATCAGTAATCAATACTTTGAATGACTGGCCAGCTAGCACCCTCCTGCTAGTTAGTGGGGAAGTCAGCGCTGCAGTGAGGGCGGGTTTGCTCTGGGCCAGCCCTGTTTGTCTGGGCATTTGCCGGTGAGGGGATGGGCACATTTGGGGCTTGACTTGGAAGCCACAGTCTTTCCCTTTTCTGTATTGCACACGATTCCTTTCCCTGAGGGGAAAAAACAACAACAACCCTGTTTTCTAACCATCTTGCCTGGACCACTCTGTTGACTGAAGCTCTATTATGTGCTATTTAAGCAGACTGTGTTTAATACTTAGATGATGCTATTGTAATGTGACTAAGTCTTGCCTGGAGGAAAGTCAGCATTGAGCGTGTTCGTTAACAAAAGACCTGGAACCAGTGGCTCCTTGCTATGAAACAGAAGTCTCAGGCGGAGGGGCGGGAACGACTCTTTTCTCTTTTTCTGGCGCCAGGGTGCAGCGTGGTGAGGACATGCTCACCCAGGACGAGGCAGGACTCACCGAGCGCACAGCGCTGGCTCGGGGGCTCTTTCTCCCTCTTCAGCCATGAGGCTGCGAGGATGCGGGCGAGGAGAGTGGGAACAGCCTCCCAGCAAGGTGCGGGACTTGTATCCTACACCACGCTACGCCACGTCTGACGCTCCAGGGTAACAGACACTTCCCCATTGAATTCCACCAGGTGGCCACAAGACACGAAATAAAAGAGAGGAAGCGGAAACGCAATGTTTACATGAGCAGTTTACACGTTTAAGGAGCAAAATAGGTTATAGATCCTAGCGTGCGGGGAGGGATAGAAACTGCTCGAAAAAGATTAGGGTGAGTTAGAAGGATGTAGTCTGCACGTCAGTGGAAAATTGGGTCAATTCTGCCAATTTTGCTAACATTCAAAGGTTGATGACAATGATAATTGAATTTGTGTTTCTTGAACATTTGCTCCAAATGTACCCAATGTTCTAAGGGAATATTATGTAATAGTTCTACTTAACTGGTGTAGCAGTATCTGCAATAAAATGGGGTAAAGCTTCCTCACTGACCAGCACCTCTGGGGAGCCAGGTGCCTACGTGGTCACCACTGTGTCTCTTGTGGCAACAAACCATCTGACGGTCACAGAGGCCGTCGGTAGCCAGCCTTGCTCACCCCAGTCACCCAGTACTGCCTCGCACTCGCTGTGGGAACATTCTGAGCGCCAGTGCAGTCGGTGGCCTTGGCAAGGTGTTCTGCTCCCACACCTTTCCCGCGAGGGCCACGTGCTGGGAGGGAGCAGTGGCAGAGGGGGTACACAGTTGGAACCAGGCCTCCCTCCCCTCTTCCTGCCCTCTGGGCTCAGGGTGGTGAGCGCCCCTTCCTGTCCGCTGTCCGTGGCCATGGCAGGCGACCTCAGTGAGGCCCGGTGGCCTCCTGGCTGTGCGCCGGCCTCTGAGGCGCCTTCTTGTGGGAGCCGACAGAAATGGCCGGCTACCGGGGCCCCGGGGCTCCCCAGGGCTCGCTGCCGACATCTCCACGAAAGCGCTCAGGTTAATGGATCCAGGAGGGGCAGTGAGCATGGATAATTTGAGGTTCCGTTTTGGCTGGAAGCTGGGGTGTCTTGTGTAATGTCACAGGCCGAATTACTAAGTCTTCCTGTAAGTTGAACGGGAGGGCAAAGGCAGGGGCAGGTCGGCACGCAGAGGTGCTTTGTCGACAGCCCCTGGTGGTTTGTGTGTGCCGTCTGTCTGTCTGTCTGCTTAATTAGTTGTCAGCACTTAAAGATAGGGAGGTTTCTCATAATCACTCTGGCTTTTGGGAAGTTCTGGCTGCGGTCTGCTCCCCACGCCCCTCCCAAGCACACGCACAGCTGGCCGCCCTGCAGGTCCACTCTGCTCACTTCTCCGCCAGGGAGACGCTGCAGTCTGCAGCCCGTCTTCAGCGCTCTGTATGCGCTGGCTCACGTGAGACGACGCAGCGTCGTCAAGGACACGCACGCACTGGCCTGGGGTGGGTTGCGGGCGCTTCGGGCGTGAGCGAGGGTGGGAGGAGAAGGCGCGCTGAGCTGAGCTCCGGCCGAGAAGTGTGTCCTCCCGCTGTGCACACGCGGCCCCATGCACCGGCGTCGGGTCCGCAGCGGTGGGGTCGCGACCCCCAGAACAGAGCAGGAGCGTGCGGGCTTCTCACCTGTCTCTTCCTCCCTCTGGCCCGCCAGGACCGTGCCACCGACGCAGGGCGGGCGGCTGCTGCTCCCAGCTGGGCTCGCTGTCGGCCCTGAAGCATGCTGTCCTCGGCCTCTACCTGCTGGTCTTCCTGATCCTCGTGGGCATCTTCATCTTGGCAGGTAAGCAAGCGCCTCCTCTTGCTGCGGCCTTTAAGGAGGTGGGAGGAGACGTGGCCATGAGAGCAGAGGGAGCTGGGAGCCAGAGCCTGGCTGCTCA